TTTTTGATACCAGCATTGAACTCAGGACCTTGCGCTTGTGAGGCAGGCGGCGGAAGCACTGAGCTAAATCCCTGGCCCTTCCTTGCACATTTTAATAAGCTTTTATAGTGTTTCAAACCTCTTATAGGCTCCCCAAGGACCACTGCTTCATCTCCTATCGCACCCCTCCCTCAGGTGAAGAATCCTAGCTCTAATCCCATGCACTAATGCAGCGAGCACACTTACACTCAGGTTCCTGGCTTTCCCTGTTGTGTTCACAGCCTCCCGCTGAGCCACTGGTCCTGGAACTCTACTCTCACGATCTTGATTTCCTTCATCATGCTGAATCTTATTTTCATATTTGTTTTCATATTTGTATGATCTCACATTTCGATTTGATCTACTGATTTGTTCTCTCTTTGACTATAATTCTTACAGTTTCCAGATTAAATTCTAATCATCCCTCCACATTGTCCAATCCAGCCTCTTGGAAACCCCTACTCCACATCTAGCATCCAGGCATCCTTGTCCAGAGAACATCCTTTTGAAATTTTTTCTAAAATTTGCTCAGTTTAAGGAGTTGATCCATTTTAAAACAAAAACAAAATGCCTGTGGAAGAAGTAACACTTAAATTATTGCCTTCCATTTGCATTTCCATGTTAATAAGTTTCAGGTCTTTGGTTTAGAGAAGATTTTGTCAAGAAGAGTTTGAGAATTAAGTAGAATTGAAGAGAAGACACTATGTGAAAATAGGAAAGGAGACTTTGGAGAGTAGAGTGTAAAATTATTAACTTTCCTATTCCTTATTTTTGCCTGAAGTCACACTAAGCTGAAGGGCCTAAAACTTAGTACAGAAAAGCCTTTCCTCTTAGAAAACCCTTGGGTTATTGCTGAGGATGTTTGGGGAATGGTGTGGCATGCTGCCAGGCCTTTGGCACTGACTACTACTAAGGATTGAGTGTGTACAGTGTTGATGTGTGCCTGATGAGCAAGAGAATAAACCACTGGGCTCTACCCCAAGCCTGGCCTCTCTTGAGAGGCAGAATGGAAGGAGCACACTCTTGAGGCCATAGCTCTTCGTGGGTCAGCAAAGACACAAACTGGAATTTATAAAATATATTCAGATCTCATCATTTAGGGATTTATGCCTGCAAGTCCACTATCATTAAAGAGTTACGTGCATACATTCCCCTTGCCATCATAGGGATTACAGATCACTAACGATAGTAAATTATTCTCTTCTGTACTGTGTACTGCGATTACTCTGTGGAATTTTCTAGACTGTTTTGTAGGGCACTGTAGCACTAATGAAGTGTTATTTATACTATGCACTGATTTTCTGGTTTGTTTTTCTTGAAGTTTCTCCTTGGTCCATCTTTTTTGATTTATCATACATTTAGCAGACCTAAGTATAAAAGTCATTTTTCTGTCACTTTTCAAACTTTAAATGAACAAGACTTTATGAAGTGTAATTTTCAATAACAATGAAATATTAGAAGCCCCTCTTGGAGCTCCTTGTTCCATTTATGCCTTTTTTTCTGTTTTTTTTTTCTTTGTTTCCCACCAGTGGTGCTTGCAATGGCCATGGCTTCCAATATATGGAAATAAACCTCTAGGAGAGGGTCGTAACAGTTTCCTTTTACCTAGTTGCACAATATCAAAAAGTAAAAGCATAGACAGATGCACAGCAGGCTGTGTGCCCAGCTAATAAAAAGTGACTTAGCTTAATGTGTGGTATTGAGAGGGGTGGAGGTGCAAGGAGGTATTAGATAAGTTTCTCAGGAGGTAGCAATTTCTCTTTGATACTGTTCTCCTTTACACTTGTCTGAAGGTGAATAACTTCTAATTATTCTCCCCTAAAAGTTAAAGAGCGTGTACTTTCAAATTAATCTATTTGGATTCAACTCACTACTATTATTTTGGGGATGTGTAATTTAAAGACTTCAAGAGCTTTAAGAAAGGGGGTGTAAGAAAAGTAAATACCATATGAAGAGCATATGATTAAGTATGTAAAAGGGGCCAACATGATTTATATAATAAATTTTTCCTCAATACATTTTTTCTTTCTCTTCCTTCCCCTTTTATTTTTTCTTCTCTCCTAATTTTCATTTCTATCAGCCATTTTAGTTACATAAGTTACTTGGACAAGAAGTTGGTTGTAGTACAAATGGCAGACAAATTTGCTTGTTTTCCCAGTAACCGTCACTGTCACCTCTCCCTATAAACACTTTTGTTTTGCTTGCCAAAAAGAGTTAACACCTTTAACAAACTCAAGAAGTGAATCATTATTAATCTAAGCCAATTGTAGGAATTCCATAAGGTTGGAAAGTTTTTAGATTTAAAAATAAATTTCCTGAGTTCCATCCCTGGTACCAAAAAAAAAAAAAAAGAAAAAGGAAAAATATGTGACTTTATACTAGACCAATAGCACATGCAGTGAAACCTGCTGGAGGCACAGGGAGAAGGGTTTTTTTCTCTGATAAAACAAAAAGAGACTTACAAAGAACATTCCTCCTTCTCTTAAATGTATGTGTCCATGACCTTATGAGATGCCTGAAACTGCTATAGCTATCTATGTTCTGGAGCATGAGATTCACCAACACAAATGGTAGAGTGAAAAAGTGAAAAACCTGTCTTCTGTTTTAGTCACCTTTTCATTATTGTAGCCAAATACTTGAGAAAAGCTACCTAAAGGAGGAAAGATTTATTTTGGCTCATGGTTGCAGAGGTTTCAGTCCATGGTCAGCTAGCTTCAAGGGAGAAACACCATGGCTGAAGGGTGTGGTAAAGGAAAGCTGCTCACTTCATAGCAGCCAGGAATCAGAGAGAGATGGAAGGAGCCAGATACAGAAGAAGGGCCAGGAATAAGAACACACCCTTCCAAGTCATGCCTCAGTGACTGACTTCCCCCACCTCATAGCAGCGTATTATCAGTTATGAACTCGATGGACTAATCCATCGATGAGTATAGAGCCCCCATGGTCCAATCACCCTACAAAGCTCCACGTGTGAAAACACAAGCCTTTGGGGGACACTTTGATCCAAACCACAACTACCTTTAGTTCTCGATGACATCACTATGCTGCTGAGCAGGCCTCCCTCCAGAGTCTGCCATGATAAACAATATATGCTTTAGGATTTGGTGACTTTTGGTCAGCATTCTGTTATCTGTAGCAGAAATCAACTAACTGCTGAAGTGTTCTGCAAAACCAAATTCAAGTCCCAGCATTGTGTGTATATGCGAGAACATGGGCAAGTTATCAGAAAGCATAATTTTCTCAATTTCTTCTGTACAATGGACATAATAACTTTATTCACCCCATAGACAGGTGCAATAATTCAACAAATTCATATAGAGTAATGCTTGATAACAGGCCTTCAGTAAACAATAGTGGAAATTATTTTAAATATCTCCCCAACTCACATGTAGCAAACCCTTATTAATCCTCCTAACACAGACACAGCTCACTGTGGATGATTTTGATTAAAATCTCCCTCATGTCTAATATTTAATTCTATTCCCCTGGCCAGCTAGATGGTTTTCTTCTTCATCTCCATTCTCTGCGTGTCTGCCCTGAAGCCATGGGCCCAGCGAGAGAATGGTCATCCCATTCCACAGACTCACACATCAAAGGAAATATGAAAGGGCTCATGCGATCCAGTCAGGAATTTGTGGTTTGGCTGAAAAATTTGAAGCCTGAACAGCCTTTTCAATTTGGGGAAGGGTAGGGGAACTGGAACTCTTAATTTCCTTTTAGAATAACTCTTTTTGACACAGAACCCCAAACTCTCTTCCTTTGACTGCCCCTAAATTCTTTCTACAACTAACTCTATTGTTTCTATTGTGATCTGTAAATCAGTATCTCTCACATTATTAGATATTGATTCTTTGTGCTTTTTCTTATTCCCCAATAATATATAAAACCAATTTTGTTTTCTCTTTAGGGTCATTGTGACCCTTTCTAGACTTCCAATAGCTGTGTTTGTTTTCCTTTTATTCCTCACTTTGCTCACACTTCAACTTTTCTTTCCTAGAGATTGAAATCCCAGGCCCTTTCTCTTCTTTATACTTATTTTATATTATCACAGTTAACCAGGGCTGGGGATTTAGCTCAGTGGTTCTGGTGCCTGCCTTGCAAGCGCAAGGTCCTGAGTTCGATCCCCGGTGCCAAAAAAAACAAAAAACAAAACACAGTTAACTGTAAGTTGGCACTGAAATATCCAGAACTTGAAAACTGAATCTCTCTTTTCTGCACTTACCTTGGCAACTTGGCTCAGAATCTAGGCAAAGCCAGATTAAAAAGATAAACAGATAAAACCAGCATCTTCATTTCTTAGGCTTAAAAAGTGTATTTATCATTGTGGATCACAATAAAAGTCAGCAAGTTTTCAAAAGCAAACAAAGGGTGATTACTGGCATTTTTTTTTCTTGGCTGACCAGCAGAAAAATCTGTGGTTGGAAACCTGGCAGCGTAGGTTTGGGATGGAAGGTCTCCCAAAAGCCAGATACACGGTCTCCCTAGTACCTGCCTTCTAAGGGGTAGCCATGCCTACAGCATAAAACTACAGTATTGTCAAACAGAAGCAGGACCTGGTTACAATTTTCTTTTGTGGCTGTGATAACAGAATTCAGTGTCCCAGCCTGGCAGTACTGATACTTATGAACCAAGTTGTGCTACTGGACATTCAGATTCCTTTCCTAGACCTTGCCCCAACCATTTTATTAATCTCAGAGTTACTGGTATCCTCCCATTCACTTTCTTTTGCCTTAACTTAACCAATTCTGTTTCTATTGCTTGCAACAAATAGACCTAGCTAAGTGACACTTACTCTGAAAACTCAGCCATGGATTATTTCCTCCAGGAAGTCTTCTCTATCTTTCATTGACTGTGTCAGGTATCTCTTCTACAGCACACATGTATAGCTGATGTATCCTATACACAAGTCCTATAAACAATGGCCCCTTTGTTACATATGATTACTAGTTTGTGGTCACTGTGAATGCAAGGCAGTGTCTGTCTTATGTATTGCACTCCTCACAACTTCTAACATATGGTAACACAACTTCTTACCTGGTACATGGTAAGTATTTTATCAGTATTTGTTGAATTACTGTGGAATGAAAGCCCCCCCCCCCTCCGCCATAGAGACAAATTTTCCTGGAGAGGGATTGGTTGGAGTAAAATAAGTGCCAATATCAAAACTTCACCAGTGTCAAAATATCCTGGCCCCCTCCAGAATTTGATCACAAAAATCCAGATGATCAAAATTATCAAGATAATTTAATTGGAAAGTAGGGCAGAGAAAACTTTTAATTAAATTAAAAGAAAAGGGGTTACGTAAAAGAGGTATGTAATGAAATTTTATGAGTATGTTCAACCCCAAAACAAAACAAACAAAAAAGAACACCAAGTTTGATCCTAACTAGTCACTCTCAATGGATAGTGGTAACTCTGAGCTCAGTGCAGGGGTGTGTGCATGTGAGTTTGTGTATGAATATTCTTCAATGAAATTTTGTGATTAGTCATTTAGTAGACAATCAGATTTCCATGCACACTGGTATTTTGTCCTCAGCTATCCTCCCAAAAGTCTCATGCTCATAGAAATAATATTGGCTCTTTTTTCAACATAACATTTTGATTACTCTGGCTCCAGCAAGTCTGGGTTTGTTCTCTCTCTGCATACTTTTTGAGGAAAAAGAATTTTGGTCATGACAGACCAATATATGTACCTGAAACATTGTTTGAATAATCTAAGCATTAGGATATGTGCCAAGAGGAGCAATATTGGATATAGGAGTCAAGAAATGACAGAGCAGAGTGAGGCAGAATTATTAGGGACATACCTATGGATAGGAGAACAGATCATCAGTGCCTTTGGGGGGAAATTTCCGTGAAACAGAGAACAATTTTTGTTGACATTGTAGATTAATTAGAGAAGTAGGTCAATAGGGACCAGAATATTAGAACAGAGAGAGCAAGGACTTGTGAAGGTACTGATCTTAAGGATGGTTTAATTAAATTGACCTTGTTCCACGTACAATTCTATGCATTAACTCATATATGGATTCATGTACTCACCTATAAATAGGATACAGAATTGTTTTCTTGTCCCAAATAACTTCTTATGCTACTTCTTTGCAATCACCCTAGTCTCCCTTTCCCTACCCTCTGGCAACCACTGATTTGCTCATCATTATAGCTTTGTTTTTTTATCATTAAGTTTATTGGTGCATTTTAGGTATACAATACAGTTACATTCATCATTGGAACTTATACCTTTACATGATGTATCTTGGTCCTTATTTTTTCCTCATTCCTCTGCCCTCTCCTCAACTCCTCCACTCCTCCCTATTTACAAAGACTTTGTTTCTATTTTTTCCTTTCCTCATATTGTTTCTTTTCCCTTCTTTCCTTTCCTCTACCCCTCCCACTTCCCTAACCCTTTAGACCTTTAAAGAATATCAGTATCATGGTATGTAAAATTTTAACACTAGCTTCTTTCAATCAGAATAATACCTTTAATATTCATTCAATGACATATCAATAGCTCATTCCTTTCACCATTGTGTGAATTTACCTCAGCTTGGTTGTCCATTTTCCTATTAAAAAATAATTTTTTCCAGCTTTTTGACAACTATGAATAGAGATTCTGAAAATATTCACATTCTGGTTTTTTTGTATACATATGTTTTCATTTCTGTAAATGTCTAGGAGTGGAATTACAGGGTTGAAATAGATGTTTAATTTTATAATAACTGCTGAACTATTTTCCAGAGTGGTTATACCATTTTGCATTCCCAGAAGCAATACTTTAGAGATTCAGTTACTGTATTCTAGCTAGATAGAGTTGTCTGTCATAGATTTCATTTGCATTTATCCCATGGCAAAGGATGTTGAACATATTTTCATGTGTTTATTTGCATTAGTATAGTATCTTTGTGAAAGTATCCATGCAAATCTTTTTCCATATTAAAACTGGGTTATTTATGTTCCGACTATTGAGTTTTGAGGGTTTATTATATATTCTGGATACAACCCCTTCCTCAAAAAAGTGATTTGTAGATATTTCTTACCAGTCTGTCTTTTCATTGCCTTAACCTGTCTTTTGTAGAACATACGTTTTAAATTTTGATGAAGAACAATATATCAATTTTTGTCTTTAATAGATCATGTATTTGGGGGTAATGCCTGAGAATTCCTGGATCATTAAAATTGTCTTCTGAAAAGTTTTATAGTTTTACTTTTTACATGATCTATGATCTAATTGGGACTTCACTTATGTAAAAGGTATGAGATTAAAGATGAATCTCATTCTTTTTGCATATGGATTCCAATCGCACTATTTATTGAAAATATTATTCTTTCCTTCATTGAATTGCATTTGTACTATTGTCAAAAATCAATGGGCCTAATGTGGGTGAGTTTCTTTATTATCTAATGAATCTAACAGTCTGAAAATATGACCGTACTATAAATTAAGTTTCCTATTGGTGGTAGCGTGATTTATCCATTTATTACTTTTAATCAGAATTATTTTAGCTATTTAGAACCTTTTAATTTACATATAAATTTTAGAATGACTTGCTCAGTTTCTGGAAAAAAAAAAAGCTCATTGGGATTTGATGTCAACTGACCATAACTTGTAACAGATCTGTATCTCCAGACATCTTTCCCAATACAGAATTTCACCTCTTGTCTGCTAAGAATTGGGCTATATTACTATTATTTTCTTGAGAAGGCAAATATTCAAGTAATTACCCATGGAAGATCATTAACAGAAACCTGAAAAATTGCAAGAGGGACACACATGTCTTATTTCTTTATCCTATACTGTTAGGAACATGAGAGAGGTCCTAGATTAGTTTTGATGTAACAATTTCTAGTCAAAACCATTGATTTTCCACACAAAACCAAATGACCTAAACTCTGAAAGACAGATTGAGACCAGGCTACTGTGATTATTATTCTGAGACCCAAAATAACCTGCAGTGGAGTGGGGAATCAAGAGTAGGAGAAAATTGAGGAAAACTCTTTACAGAATAATTTTTCTAATGCATTATTACCCAATCTTAACAGGTCCCTCAGCATATGTTGATCAGAATCCACAGGATTTTATCTTTTGTTCCTGCCTGCTTTCATAGGACATCAGACACTTCTAAAATGCCTCTTAGAAGTTTTTACTGTCCCCAGAGAATGTTGCAAATGTGCACATTAGCTAGTCCTTTTCTGCTGGGTATCAGCACAGCCCAACCAGGCCTACTCTGTGTGGAGTCACATCCACTGAGTGCTAATGGCCCTGCAGAACAGCCAGGTCTTCTGCTGAAATCTGCATTCTTTCCCCAAAAAGCCACTCTTTTTGCAGATGTCACTAGTACTCCCAGGCTTTTGTCACAATTTCGTAGAAGAGCAAAGCCTCAAAAACTGTGATATGATAAAGAATTGTGACAAAGTAAAGAAGATGCTTTCCTTGTGTTTCCCTCTGTCCAAATGATTCTAGAGCAACCTTTCCTTGTAAAGTTCTACAAAGAGACTAGTGATCAACTCTTTTAGTTTTTATGCTCTACTTGATTTGGTCTTAAGTCGAGTAGAAATTAGGTTGGGAGAGAATTTCGAGTGACACACAACAAACTCTATTTCTACCCAAACTCTAGCCAGACATACCAGAAGTGTGCTTGTGCTTGACTGAACTCCTAGGAAGCTTTCAAACAAATAGAGTTGATAATTCAGCTTAACTTTTACAGAACTTTTACCTGGTCCTTTTTCCCTGAGCATGTGTTTTCTTCTTGGAGACTCTGGATTTCCCTACAAAAAGATATAAGTTGAGGTCATCTCATCACTTCAGACCAGAAGATTCCAAAATATCCATGCAAATAAGTTTGTGGTAGAACCATTCCCTTAGTTTGCCAGTCATTTTGGACTTCCACTTAGACTGCTACCACAATACAGTTTCATATAGCATAATGCCTGAAGCATCTGGTGGAAGATAATGGTAAGATTATCAAATCTATACAAAGAAGACTAAAGTTCAAACACATTAAGCAACTTGCCCAAGGGATTCTTGGACCTAGGATTTATACCTAGACCTTGTAATTCCAAATACTATTTTTCTTTCCACCAAACTATAAACAAGATTTTAGAAATCATTTTAGGGGACTTCATGCCAACCTTCTACCAATGCCAATAAAGTCAGCCAATCTTCTAGCTCCCACTGATTATGGTAAAGGCAGAGCAGAATCTGAATACAAGTCTGCTTGACCACAGTGTCCATGAGACCATGAAAGGACCACACTGTCCCCAACTTGAGCCTCACTGTCTTACCCACTATGAGGGCGTGGAGCATTGTCCATGAATAACAGAGACATTGTAGCCATAAGCCCCATTGGAATTCTGTTTCTTGTCACTTATTGAATATGTTTCTTATGCTCCCCAAGCTTCAGTTTCCCATACACCAAATAAGAACGATGAGAACTACCCCATAGGCTTGTTGCTCATAGGAAAGAAGTCTGCATATAGTTTTTAGTCCTCTCCCTAAGATGTAACATTTCCTTAGTATATGGCAATTGTTATTGATTTCTTTGTTAATTAGTGTAACATTTTGAACATATTATGTATTTTATTGTATATTTGAGTATATTAGATAAATCATCTTCAATATGACTTCTTTTTAATAATCAAAATATATTATCAGAGATAATAAGTTTCCACAGTCCAAGTGGCCTCCACCATTTCCAATGAGATTAATTTTGAAAACAGCACACAGAGTAGCACCATAGTAGGCTGCAGAGCAAGTTCAGGAAATGAGACATAAAGAATGTTTCCTTAAAGAAGTGAATTAAAATTTAGGTAGGATTTATGCTATTCAGAGGGCATTAAAATGGAAAAGGATTAAATTTCAGCTATTTTACTCCAAAGAAATGCCTAAAGCAAAAAGTTAACTTGGAATACAATTTCAGGAGGTCATTTTTTAATTTCATAAGTAGTATCTTCAGTTTGTTCATTGCCAAGTAAAATGAAACAACCAGCCTTTTTTCTTTTTTGGTACCGGGAATTGAACTCAGGTCCTTGTGCTTGCACAGCAGG